AAATAAAAATTTTCCCCCCCCCCCCCCCCCTTTTCTTAAACGAAAGGCTAGTTCCAGCCCTACTCGATCACAACTATACATCCAGTGTTCCACGTGCCACAACTGAGGAGAGCTATTGGGGATCATGTAACTAGTTTAGAGTTACCTGTGACACTAACAGACTTGGAGGTGGCATTAGAACTACTGGAGTTGAGGTGGGTTTGACAGGGAGAAGAAGGGGACAAGGAGGTTCTGATAAAATGGAATAATTTATCATACTAACTTGGGAGCCATACGAGAGAGTGAAGCATCAGTTTATGCCTTTTCACATTGAGGACAAGGTGATTCTTTTGGTGCTGATGGTGGTGCTGGATGTTGGTAGACCGATCCAGCCAGCCAAGAATCAAGACCGTCCCCTGGTTTATATCAGGCGGAGAAAGCAAGCAGCACGCCCCCTTGTGGGGCCCACAATTTGAAGATTTTTAAGAATGGGGAGGCAGTTTAGGAAGGAAAACATAGAAGTAAAGGGTTTTTTAGAGATTTCGATGTTTATTATTTTGCTTTTAAGTAGATTATTTTCCCTAGGGTTAGAGTTATCTATGTTTTGCTGAATTTGGGTGTTCTCTTAGGTTTGCTTGGGCTCTAGCACGGGTAGGGATTGGGAGAGAAGGATCTTCCTCTCAAATTGAAGATCCATTGTATCTTGTTTATTTTTTTTCCAAATTCATCAATTTCAGGGCTTTTTAAGTGTTTTCCCCGGGACTTCTTCTCTAATTCAGATTTCCCCTTGCTGAAATTCACTTTTAGCTAACAAATTATTCAATTTCTGCACTTGTGATCTATCAGGTTGCTATTAATTATCTTAAAATGATTTTCATTGAATCGAAATGAAGTTGAAGAAATGATGAGAAAATTTCACTTCAATTTTACAGGTTTAATTCTTGATTTGTTAATTTTTTAGTATATATGCTTTCTAAAAATCTGACAGACCATGTTTTTGATTTGTCAGTGAAATATGCGACAACAGGTGCTATATTCCTCATGCAACTCTTTCATGGCTTCTGATCATGGTCAATACACAGGCAGAGTAGCTTATCCGTCTCTATGAGAGTAGCAGGGACTTAATTTCGTATAGCATAGCAATAACGCCGCATAACCAAAGCAAGTTAGGCTGTAATAAGAACTTTTGTAGTGGAGTAGATTTTGGCCTAATAGGCATGTTTAGTTTGAAAGTATGTCGTTGAAATGATTGAATCATTCAGTATTTATGCTAATCCTTTTATTTATTTTCATTTTGATTTTTTATTTATTTATGCTAATCCTTTTGTTGTCATCAAAGCGAAGGATATAGGGTTAGCATTTTCCGTGTCTTCTACTATGTTTTCATTAGCTTTGTTGCATTACCATGTAAATTTTATTTACAATAATTTTCTGTAATGTATCCCTTTGCAAACTAACTGAGATTTCTCACCAGTGTTCTCAAATTCTTCATTCATTCTGTATTCTGTTCTAGCTATCAACCTGAGAAATTCTGGGAAGTTAAAGTGTTTATATGTTGTGAAGTAGGTTTCAATTTGGTTTGAGAATGAGAGGCTATTATTCTAAGACATTTTGAAACTTTTGTGACAGGTAGAATGGAGCAGTCTTCCGTAAAGACACTTCTTGATAGCATCTCATGCTTTGGTCTTTTATCTTCCCGTACTACCATAAAAGCAGAAGTAGTTCTCAGATACTGCCGAACAGTTGATGAGATCTTGATGCTGTTGAAGCCTGTCTTGGAGGAGGCTGTTCTCTCAGAGATAATTCCGGATATGAAACTAACGGAAGTGCTGATAGAACTTGACTCTCTAGTTAATGAAGCTAGGGAGCTGCTTGGAAGCTGGCATCAGATGATGAGCATAGTTTACTTTGTAAGACTTTCCTATCTTTTCCGTTTTCATGATTTTACATATGCTTTACAGAAAATCTTCAATTAATCGTTTAACAGTTTTTTTTTTCAATAAAAAACGAAATTCATTGTCACTATAAATAAAATATTGCTTAAATGCAGTTTCCCTGTTTCATGTGTTTTATATGTTCTCTGTATTCCTGGTTGTGTTGTTTATGTGAGAAAGGCATTATATAAAGTTTATTGAAAAAAATAGTTATAATTTGTTTAGTTTCTCCTCTATATTTTTTTGCATTAACAAAATAATATCTAATCATATTCTTAATATGAGTAAATGTCAAGGCTACATGATGAGAGTTCTTGGAACTATTTGTTTCAAATTAATCTTAGGGCTCATTTGATTGTTTGTAAATAGAAGCATATTTTTGGAAAATGATGCTTTCATCTTCAACAATAACAACAACAACAATATCAAGAATTTATCCCACTACGTGAGGTCTGCTAAATGAATCTTTTTTTTCTCCATTTTGTCTTCTTAAGGGTCAAATTATCATTTAAATCTAATAAACAAAGGTCATTTCTAATAATTCTAACCAAGTCTTTTGAGATCTACCTCTACCTTTCTTAATATAATGCATCTACTCTCCTAACCGGATCATCGGAAGGCCGCCATTTTATGTGACCAAACCATCTAAGACGATTCTCTCTAATATTGTCTTCCACTGGAGCTACTCCAACATGTTCACGTATAAGCTCATTTTTTATCCTATCTCTAAAGTAGAGCCACTCATCTATCTGATCATCCTCATTTATGCATCACTTAACTTAATATTACGCTTCTCTTTTAATGACCAACATTCTGCACCATAAAGCATTGCAGTTCTCACCACCATCTTATAGAATTTTTCTTTAAGTTTGAGGGGTA